GCCAGCCACTTCCTCAGACTACACAATAAAGGAGATGACTGCATAGTCTGAGAAATTGGAATGCAAATGAATCCAGAGTCATTTCAGTGAAGAATCTTACATGAAAGCTAAAGGAAAGATGATGTTAAAAGAACCCAAAGCATAAGATAAAAATATGTTAGAGTTCAGTGTCTACATATATGTGAGTAGAGGTCATAAAAGGAAAAAGAATACATTCAATTTGAAACGAAGTATTCTGAATCCAGATTCTAAAGGAATATTTTAAAAATACTCCGCGCCCCCCCCCCCAAATGAAAAGCTAGTCAAACAAACTAACCACCTGGTAACTGGCCCATTCTGGACTGTAAGATTGGCTACCTGGTCAAAATACTTTTAAAGCATGGGAAACAAGTTGCTTCACAAGCTATTTTATATTACTTTTCATAATAAATATAATGTTTAAATGTAATAGAACAGAAGTGTGACTAAGGGTTAAAGTCCTTATTTTATACATGCTTGCATTCCCCTGTTATGATGCTTTTAAAATTATGTATTTATTTTTATTTTGTCCCAGTATGTGCTGTATTTACTGTAAACTCCTTGAGTGCTACTCAGATTTTAACCCAGCAACTTATCCCAAGGGTAGTCTGAGCTAAAAGAGGACAAGATGCCTAAAATCCCCTAGCAAACTTCCATGGCTTAAAAGTAGACCTGGGCCTCTGTCTCCATGATCTTAGCTCTGCAGCCCAATCACAACCCCAAACTGGTGTGGAAGACAATTTTCACCATAGTGCATGGAAAGATGAGGGGATTTTGGGTGGCACGTCCATCCTAAAATCATCTTCTCACCCCAATGCGGAATAGGTTTTTGAAGCAAAGAATTTTAAAAAGCCTCCCATATCAGCAACTGAACTCCTCATTCTAAGTCAGGGGTCTTCAAACTTGGCCGTTTTATGACTTGTGGACTTCAACTCCCAGAATTCCTCAGCCAGGCACGCTGGCTGAGGAATTTTGGGAGCTGAAGTCCACAAGTCATAAAACGGCCAAGTTTGAAGACCCCTGTTCTAACTATAGTGCAGAACCAAGGGAAGATTTGAGATAGAATGTAACTGGGATGGGAACAATGAAGTCTCTGCCTCCTATTCACTAGGAGCCAAGCATCTGACATTTACTTCCAATAAGAATAGGAGGTTCTTTCCACCTTGTCATGTTTGCAATTTGTGAAATTCTATTAATCAACCATTTGTGTTTTTTCCCCCCAAAAAAGTCTATACTAAAATTTTCATGTAGCATACTGTAGATTGTATTTCTCAATACAGGTATATGCATTTCTAAGTTTAAAAAATGGCCTGGTTAACACAATTGTATAAAGAACAGTCTCTTAACAACATAAATTTTGTACATTCTGAGTGCATGCATCTTTAAATCGTTGACAAACTGCATTGCAAAATTCAGGAAATGTAAACTTTTGAATATTAATTTTTTACTTTATACATTGTTAAAAATTTTTTAAAGTAGATAGGATCACTTTCAAATGTGAATTAAATGAGTTTCTTTCTCCTTTTTTTTACATGTGTTACGCTTCCTTGATAAACATGGAGGCTTAAGATTTTAAAAGCTACTTTGCCTACATATTATAGGTTATTCTTCTCACTGTACTGCACAATATGAGGTTGTATTTATATATGGCCATTAATAACAGATTTTTTTCACTGATGTTCTTGCTTTAACTCAAAACAGGCTAGATCTTCTAGCAGCTATAATTTCATAGGCTGTCAAGCAAGCTTTAAAATAGCCTCTTGGCAGTTTTTGAAATAAGTTTTGATTTATTTTGGTTTATTTCTGCAGTGTTTTATATTTTGGATTGATGTATTTCAGTCAGCTCCTGAATGACAGGTGATTATTAATCACGTGCTTTCTCATTTCATTTATACTGAGAGGTGTATCAAGGATGCATTCCTTTGCCTTTTATTTAAATTTGGTTTTAGAATCCTCTGCCTACCTAATCTAAATTCTGGAAATATCAGAGAAATTACTCGGAAGTGGAAGGGGCAAGGAGAACATGACATTTTATTATATGCCAATATTTTAGTTGTAAATAAATGAGAAGTATTTTTTCTAATTTCATTAATATGTAAATTTGGGGTGCTGTCTATTACCTATAAACTGGAATAAATCAAACTTAAGGTCACTGGTTTAGAAAAAAATATGTTTTGGTGATTTATTTATCTATCATATTTCTATCCTGCTTGCTCCTAGTCAAGCCTGTCTGTGGCAATTCGGAGTATAAATTCAAGGCAACAATACAATCAAAATCACCTGTACATTCTAAAACATCAGATCTATCATAAATCTCTGCAAATAACAATAATATGCCAATTACTACATTAAAAACTCACAGTTCTGTTCTAAAATATCTGAGCTATAATCTTAACATTATTTTTTGAGATGAGGGCTTGGATAAAACAATAGGAATAACTGTGTCTTGGATTAACCTCATCAGTTGTGGCATTGTCCCTACACTAAAGCTTTTTCGTTTTGTTTTATTATTTTAGTTGTGATTTTCTTTCAGTCTTCTAGACTCTAGTATTAGCTATACTATTCAGTTTTGTATTATCTGCAAACTTCATAAACATCTTCATTCAAAAACACAAATAAAATACTAAAACATAAAAGGACCCAGGTCTGATCCTTGTTGTAACATTTTCTGAATGTAGGTAGTCCTCAACTTACATCCATTCATTTGGTGATCATTCAAAATTACAACAGCCATGAAAAAAGTGACTTATAATCAGTCCTCACACTTACGACTATCACTGTATCCCCATAGTCATGTGATTAAAATTTGGCTTGGTAATCAGCATATATTTACAATGATCATATGTATATTTACAGGATCATATCATGGTCAATTATGACTTTCCTAGCCAGCTTCTGTCATGCAAAGTGAATGGAGGAAGCCATGATTCACTTAACAACTGCAGTGACTTGCTTTAACAACCATGGTAAAAAATGGTTGTAAAATTTGGCACAGCTTACTTAACAACCATCTTGCTTAACAACAGAAATTCTGGTCCCAATTGTGATTGTAAGGTGAGGACTATCTGTACTTGTATAGGAGTCACTTTGATAGTAAGAGGGCAGCATATAAATTTAATAAATATATATGGCATGGATCCGGGGCCCAAGGAGTTTACCCTGTCCCACTCCCTCCAGCAGAAAAGGATATGGACCCTGGATGTTAATTTCAGCTTTCAGTGTAGAAGAGAAGAGGCTTTTTGCTGTGGCCCCTCCCTGTGGAAGATTCTACTGTCAGAGGTGATATCTGCCCCCACCCTTTTGGTCTTCTGAGGGGGAGGAGGGGTAAAATCTGATTTTGCCAGTTGGCTTGGGACCCAATGGAGGCCTTCTTTGTTGGAGGTAGTTGATGGGATAAGAAGAAGATCTCACCCTCATGCAATCCACCTGCTTGGTATTAGCTCTTATATAACTTTTTAAAATTTTAGTTGTTTCTATATTCACCTTTTTTATCATCTATAAGCCACCCAGAATCATCTTATCGCTGAGATGAGCAGCATATAAATTTAATAAATAAATATGATTGCCATACTGTCTAGCCCACACTTAACTAACTTGCTAATAGGCACATCATGAGGCAATGTGAAAGATATACATTATTGTTGAATAATCATCAAATACGAGGCAATGTATAAAAAATCTATATTACTGTGGAGTTTTTGGTGCTCTCTGAACTTAGTTGTTTGGCTGCAGACATTTCATTACGAACTAGGTAACATCCTCAATGTGAGTCAATGTGGAGTTTGCTCCCAGTTTACATACAAAGGCTTGTCCTGCCTTGTTGGTGGGGGTGTGATTTTCACCTTGGTAGTTCCTTGATTAGACTATCATTTTCTGATTGATGATTATGCCTAGTGTTAATACTTGCTTATATGAATGGTGGGTGATGGATAGGATGTGTTCTGGTCATTTGGTTTCATTCTTAGCTTTTTAAATTTTGAATGGTGTGTAAATGTGGTTTATTTCTATGTGTCTACTGATCTCTGATTTGTCTGAATGCCAAGCTTGATGGCATTTTTGAATTTAGCACGGTCTAGGATTCTCAGTTTCCCAGCTGGAAGTATGATTGAGATTATCCAGGGGTGGGAGATTAAGTTTTCATTCTATCTTCTGACAGCTTTTCTGTCATGTTCTCATCAAATCCTAAATAAATAATAAACTACTAGCTGGTGTTCAGGGATGCACTCTCCTAGGTATATCTCTCTGTCTTTCATTGTCACAATTTCTCTACTGCTTTCTATTAGCCTTCCCCATCAACTCCCAAAATTTCCCTTCTTACCAATATGGGATGTATTTTTTGTTAGAACCGATATCAATTCTTCTCTTAAATCTGCCAACTGTTCCATTTCTGTCCTAAAGTAATTTCAGTGACAATCTGAATCACAGAATCAAAAAATTGGATATTGATGTCAAAACCAGCTATTCCAATTCTTCATCCAGTGCAGAATATTATTAAAATATCCAGACTCTGCTTAAATATTTCCAGAAAAAAAATATCACCATTTAAAATAGTCTTTTCTATGGGAAAAAAAACCCTCATGATGTTAAAAACTATCTCTAAATGTTCTGCGAAAATATGCTTTCTAAATTTCCATTTACTGGGTTTGATCTTGTTTAACCTTGTCTCTTTTCATATCTTCTGCACAACAGCACTTCCAATATTTAAAGATGCCTATCAAGTCTTCTTTAACCTTCTCTTTGGTGAGCTAAATATATCTAGCTCTTTAAAACATTTGTGGATCGGTTGTTAAAGCTCTTATTAAAATGTGACTGAGAATTGGATTTCTTCTGACAAAAAGCTTATTTTTTGCCACACTAATAGAAAATCTAATAGAGCATACGCTTGTTCTGTACTGTGCAAGGCAGATGGAATGGCCTGCTTCCTTTTTTTCGAATTCAAATATTTTTCATAATACAAATAAAAACTATAGGCAAGCTCAAACCTGGTCATAAGCAGCTAGAACCTTCTTCTGCACATCTGTCAGAGTTCCCAATGGTTCTAGATAAGGAAAGTTGTCCTTCATGCAGAGCGCTACTGAAGGGACACTGTCACTGTTCACAAGCCGTGAAACCAAGGTCAAAATCCATTGCTTCAGACTTGTAATCGGTGGGAGGCCACAAAGTTCTTTCACAGAGAGAATGGAATTCTATTGAAAATAAGAAAGAAAGCCAGTTATTCTCACTGCAAACTATTATCACTATGTACAGTATTTTACAGACTGGTGAGACTCAGAATCAGTATTATATTATTAGTGTCTCCATGACTGGACAACAGTGCCATTGCAGGTAGCAGCAGGGATGGATGGCACTGTTGGCTTCGAAGGCTATCTTAATTTCCACAGACTACCATAATTTATAAATTAAGAAGACAAGTGTAGCTATCACATTCAGTATTGGTAGGACCTCTAGACTAGAGGGTCATATCTCAAATAGGATACACAAACTGCAAGAACAAATTTTCACAGAGATATACATTTGATTGACACCAATTCATCTTGTTTTTGACTGCTTTGAAGAGAACTATGGCTATAAAACTCAAAATACTTCTGTGCATTTCTTTTCAAACCAAAATAGCACTTAAAAAGGCTCGAGTACTTTGAAATATTCAAAATCAGAACCACAGTGTATTCACTATAACACTGAAGAGAAAGAAATGGTACACCCAGCATCTTCAATTAGTATTTTTAGCTTTTATTTAAAGCTAGAGAATTTGGGTTGCAGCACTGAAGGGACAACACTCTATGGATGGAGAGCAAGGCAAATTATGAAAACATGAGTAACAACATCAACACACATATGTCATTATTTATTTACATAGTTGCACCAGACACTAGGATGCAAGTATGTAATGGGGGCATGTGTGTAATGGCATCACTGTGCATGTATCATTATACTGGTGACCCTGTGGTTTGCTGCAAAGACCATTGACGAAGCCAAGAAAGTGGACTGAACTTAGCACAATAAGAGAAAAACTAGTATCTGCCATCCTCTAGTGCATGGATAATGTCCAATATTCACCCCATGAAATGTTTTTGTTTGCGTTCTTCTGTATTTGTTTCTTGCAAATGACAACAGTCCTAAACACATTTAGGTCTATCATTCATATTCAAATTATTGTTATTGTTATTGTTGTTGTTATTAAATTTATTTGCCATCCATCTCATAGTTCAACGAGATTGAGCAGCTTACATTGAAATAAAATATACAAATATCCAAACAATTATAAATATAAAATGAATTAACATTACGAAAATTAAAACTAAATAAAAACATGGGTTTGGAGCAGAGAGGTGGGGATGTCTTCTCTGTTAAGTGCACCAATTAGCTCCAGCCAATAGCTTCTCTTTCTGGGCCCCATGACAGTCAGCATAGCCAAGTGTTAAGGCTTTTCCTGAAGGCTAAAAGAGAGGGGGCAGATCTTCTACCTTCAGGTACTGAAGATAAAAATTCAACCCCAAAATCTTGTTCCAAATTACATTTCAAACATGATGCCTTTAGCTATTGCGATAAAGAATTACTGGAGCCAAGTCTTACAAAATGGGAAATCTAGTCTTACTCTAGTTCCAAGAATGGAGTAGCAATGTTTTAGGTCAGTGGTGGCGAACCTATGGCACGGGTGCCAGAGGCGGCACTCGGAGCCCTCTCTGTGGGCACGCGCACCATCGCCCCCAGTCCTAGGCCTTCAGCTAGGTTTTATAAAATCTTTTCGCTTTAGGCCTCTGCCGCCATGTGTAAAAAAAAGAAAGGTTCAATCAGTTAGTCAATTTCAACTTCTCGCAAAGTTGGAATTGATTGATTGAACTTTTTAGTCCCATCCAGTCTGCTGTTACCACCGCAGCCATGCCAACCCAATGGACCACACCCACCCAATTGGCCACACCCACCTAATGGGCCACACCCACCCAGCACCCGACGATGCATAAGTGGGTTTTGAGTTGCAGTTTGGGCACTCGGTCTCTAAAAGGTTCGCCATCACTGTTTTAGGTGATATTACAAGAAAGGTGGTGATGTCACAGGAACAGGGCTAATCTTTGACCTGTTTTTCTGAGCTTTTAAGAGTACGAATGGGAGCAGAAAGCCTCTGGTAAGCAAACTGCTCCCATTTCCACCTATAATAATAACCTTCAATTCTTCTTCAAACAGCTCCTAGAACTCTGACAATATTTTAAACCATTTGGGGAAACAAGTAAAAATTAAAGGTGGAGATTACAGTACTTTGTCTTCAGAGGCTTTCCATTCCCGTTCCTATCCTCCCATTTCCACCCCTATTTTTGAAAATAAAAATACAAAAAAAATCTTAATGGGCCTCTGAAAACTCATATACCGTATTTTCTGGCGTATAAGACGACTGGGCGTATAAGACGACCCCCAACTTTTCCAGTTAAAATATAGAGTTTGAGCGAGAGAGAGAGGGGGGGGGAGAGAAAACTTGATGAGTAATATGCCAAACCACATGTGTAAAGGAATAAAATAGAATACCTGTATTTTCCAGCGTATAAGACGACTGGGCGTATAAGACGACCCCCGACTTTTGAGAAGATTTTCAGGGTTTAGAAAGTCGTCTTATACGCCGGAAAATACGGTACCTCTGAGTTTCAGTGGTGCCGTGTCTGGGTGCTATGGAGCTGTGTAGGGCCCATGACTTCTCCACTCTTGCTTTTTTTTTGAGGAGGGGGGAAGGGAAGGCACTCAGTAAATGGTGCTCTTTTCCGACATGGTATTAGTAAGTCAGAAGACAGCCTGGCCCTTTCTATGAGAGAAGAGCTGCAGCACTGATGTAAATGAGTATCTAGCTGATTCTGAGCTTAGATTGACTTTGTTAACCCAGGACAATTGTACTGAATACCACAATAAATGAGTAATCACAAAATCAAACAAATGTGAACTGCATTTATGATTGGGCCTTAGTAATTAATCACATATTCTCTGTTATCATATCCATTTGTAATTCAGACCCAGCAGGCTGATTTCAACCCACCATCCAGTTCACGAGGAGTTTGTTTTTAACTGTATGTCAGAGAATCCAAATGCAGGGATGATGTGTAGTAGCTGGCTATAGGCTTTTGCTGATGGATTATTTGTTTAATGGGGTCTCAAATTGCACAGCCTTTCCAGATCTGGGTCTACCAAAGAATGAACTGAAGAAGTTTGAACAGAGCCATGATCTATTACAAGCTTTAACCCCTAATTCTGAGGAACACTTTTTGTTGCTTATCACAATTCAGCAGTAGGGAATTTGGCGAGATGCAGCATTCCTTTACAGACATGAGTCCTGAAAAAGCCACCTGAATTGCTTCCAGCCAACTTGGCTCTGAACCTACATTTGGCTACTATAGTTGTAATCCAGACAGAACAGAAATTGAATGGAACATCTGTGTGTATGGAACTGATTACAGCCTGTAACAGTAGAAGAGGCAACTTTCCGTTGTTTGGCAATATTAACATTTATTTTTAGTTTACAATAGGCTTCCTTTGTATAAAGAAATCCAACAATTTCCCAATAAGAATTTAAGCAAACCTCAACTTTATGGCTAAATAAAAAGAATGCTTGCAAGCCATTCTCTTCATTGACCTACAAATATTAGCAGAACATTGCTGTTTAAATGAAAATTTTAAAAGCTCATTCATTTTATGTTAATTACAACTGATGTTTTGCTGTACACAGCTTTCCCCAACTTGGAGCCTTCCAGATTTTTAGGAATTGCAATTCTCAGAATTTTCCAGGCCATCCAGCAAGCTCAATGCACTTGCTTGAGATTCTTACCACTTTCTTACATACTGGAAAAATACGTAGGGGGATTTGAAACAGATACAGACTATCCAGGCAATGCCATCCAGGTCCGGGGGCTGAGGATTTGGAGGGGACAAATACCCTTAAGCTCAACTCTACAAGACTGATCATTTTGAAATTAAGAAACGTTCATTTACAGAGATTCACCACTTTTAGTTTATGACGTGGTTGTAGTCTCTCAGAGGAACTCTGCATAATTTGAAGATCCTTCAGGGTTTTTGGATCCAGCTCAATGAACAAGTGGCAGTTATGATCACGATGGCCTTTGAATGGATCCATCTTATGTTCCAATAGCGATATTTCCTGGATTGGAAGGTCCTTCATACAGTCATATATTCTTTAGTTAACTCCTGTCCTGACTACTAGAGTATTCTACATGGGACTAGCTTTGAAAATCATTCAGAAGTTACAGCTGGTCCAGAATGCAGCAGTGGGAATAGTTATAGGCACTCCCCATTTTACACAGGTTGACTCTGTGGGCTGTGTTGGTTGCTGGTGACCTTCAAGGTGCATTTCAAGAACTTGGTTGTCACTTATAAAGCCCTTCATAACCTCAGATTTGTATTCCTATAGGATCAACTTTCTCCTGTTCTCAGATAGTAAGATTTGCCTCAGTTGAGATAGTCCAGGTGCAAACTGTAAATCAATGTCTCTTGTGAGGATCTAGGCCAGAGGTGGGGAACCTTGGCTCTTTTATGACTCATAAAAGAGCCAAGGTTCCCCACCCCTGATCTAGGCGATCTAGCTTTCTTTGGGCTGTAAGCTACTATGAAACTGCACTCCCCCTGAAGGGCATACAAGCCTGATCCAGTTATGTTTTTGTAAAGATCTAAAAATCTGGCTCTTCCAGGGGACTTGGAATAGAGTATGATCTACTCAGTGCTTTTTTTCTAAAAAAAAAAAAAAAAAAAGGTGCCGGAATTCACACACATCATACAAGCCACCTTGCCTACCCTACAAGGTTCCATCCAAAAAAGGTGCCGGAACTCCGTTCTGGGCGTTCTATGAGAAAAAAAGCCCTGGATCTACTATCTGATACTGGATTTTTGTCTTATAATTGTGACTGAATTTTGTTTGCAATTTCCCCCTCCAACATATTACTACATATTATTTCTTTAGGCTGCTTATCTATTTTTGTTATTATTGTTGTTAATCCTAAAGTGTAAGCTGCATAGAATTTCTATACTTCTGTACAACACAATATACATTGTAATGCAACATATAAAATCACTCATTATTCATATCATAACAGCATAGCTCTATCAAGATATATAATATTAAAACTGAAGAAGAAATGCCACAAAAGAAAAAAAATGGCAAAAGTTTTTTTTTCCAAGCAGAAATAAACTTATCAAAAATCAGCTGAGCCAGCCAAAAACCCTAAAAGTATTGTCTCAGCCAATACTTAAGGTGGCAGATTCTTTTAATTCTATCCAAAGTATTGGGAATAGAAGAAAGCACTTACAATAGATTCGTAATACATTTGAATTAAATCATTTTAGAGGGAGAGAGGTCAGAATCAATGAAAAACTGAACACTAAAACAACAAACCTCAAAACTTTATCATTACTTTGCAGCAGGAACTAAAGTATTCTCATTGCATCTGGCAAATGTAATAATTGTGTTTGCAGCCTTTTGAGCCAGGACTGTTGCCTCATGGGTCCCATGTATTCAGGGAGAAGGGCTGGAAGAAAATACCTGAGTACTGGAACAGCTTTGCTTGCTCAATTTGAAAATCACTACTTTACTATTTCTACTGCTGTTGTTTCTCAGTGAAAAGGAACACCTTCATTTTGGAATGATTTATTTCCAAATCCTCATCCAGACAGTATTTGATTAACACGTATAAAAAAAAGCCATCCTGGTTTCAAGAAAAAAAGTCTGTGTTATCAGTATAAAGAAGCACAGAAAATAATCTGTGCTTTAGTGGACATCAAGATTCATGTTTAGAAATGGTCCATATAACACCATTAGCATAACAATGAAATAAGATGGGGGCAAGGATATATCCTTGCTTAACTCCTGTTTGCATGCAAATTAAGGGTGTGAGAGTGGCAGAATGTTACATTTGACTGGAGTAAGATACCTTCACAGAACATAATGATTAGCTGTTATTCATGATTGCCAATAAAGGAAGAAGCTGGCTTTGCCTCAGGAAAAATTGAACAGAAATCTGTTTTCAGGTCAATTAAAAACAGCATTTTGTTTTCAAAATGTTGATGTGTTTCCCCCAAATCAAAAAGCCTCGCTTAAAACCAGTTTGTTCCACAATTAAAATCTTTTCTTGAGACAGTTAATATTCAGTTTTACATAAAAATTCTTAGCATATCATTTATTAGTAAGCATACTGGGTTAGATGTCACCCTTTTTAATGATTGCGATGGTTACAGATCATTTCCAGTCTTTGGCTGTCTCGATCTACAGAACAATACATTTTCTACCCAGAAGAATACTTCACGCTTGCATGATTTAATCCCTTACCTTCCATATTGGAAGTGAAAAGCTTTAATTGCATTCTCTTAATACAATCATTTTGTATTTGTTCTGATGCTATTATCACTACTAAGTCAGGAACGCTTATCATACGCCACTGTCTCCTCCTCTGTACTTGGTATGCAGAGTTTATATCCCCACCTCTCCTACTGTATGAATTGGTCAAATACAAAAATTAGCTGCTTCTTACTCTCCAATCTCTCACTAAAAATTTCCAGGAAAGTAGCAATGCTACCACCAGGAGTTGTGGGGCCTGGTGACCATTTAGCAGAGGGATTGCCCAGAAGAGCCTTAACAATCTGTCATGAATCTGTCTTGCTATTTGTTTTATATTATGTGTCACATTGCTATTTGTTATTTGGTCTCCAATCATAAATCACTGAAGTTTACATACTGTGGGAGACAGACAGACAGACAGACAGATAGATAGATAGATAGATAGATAGATAGATAGATAGATAGATAGATAGATAGATAGATAGATAGATAGATAGATTCAGTAACTGAACCTATTACTAATATATTTGCTCTTGTGATGGGAAATGTTCCATGACTCTTCTACAAGTAAAGCCTTGTTTTCTAAATATCTTGAAAATGAAAAATTAAGAGGAAACAGCTTATCTAAACAATTGAATTGATGCTTTAAAAAGACATTTATACGTGCAAGTCCATGTATAACTGAGAACAAGCTTGAGAAGAAGATAAAAGTTCAGAAGAGTTTAATATTACAAACTTGATTACATAAAAACAATCTCACTGTATTTAGCGGGGGTTTACTTTTAAATAAGTACAGGTTTATGATCATTTCATGGATTTATAAGTATAATAATATTCTCTGAATAGCAGTGTTCTACAATTAGTAATATTTTCTAGTTTCTAGAATTCTGAATTCATGGGACAGCACCAAATAGTATGACTTTGTCTGTCTCTTCCTCCCTCCCTCCCACTCTCTCCCTCTCTCTCTCTCTCATACACAGAATTGTATTATCCAGCACTGTATATGTGCATCCTCCCTTCCAGAAAAAATGGGAAGGCTATTATAAGAATTATATATAGAAGTGTACAAACAATGCATCTCAAATAATAGTGCAGGTTCATTGTAATCTCATTTCTCAACCACAGAGGAGCACTTAAAAAAAATAAAAACTAGCTCATTGTTGTAGAAAAATTTGGGAGAGTAAGAATAACATGGAGAAATTGGAAGCCTCCAACTTCAAGGCAAGCAAAAAAATCCTAAGCTTCAGTGTTTTGACCCTATAAAGACAGAAACTGTAGACAGGAATTTCTTTTAATTTAGCCAGTATAATCTTTACTAATGGTGATTATAATCCTAGCTATTTTTTAAAAAACCTAACAACCAGGAATAGCACTAATATTTGTATTTCATATGATAGTTTGTTAAACCAAGCTTTCAATTATGAAAATAAAAAAAAAACTCAGTTTTCCTTACCTGCATGTTCTCCCTCAGGTCAGTTGCTTCTCTCAGTGGGTGTACTGCTAGCTTAAAGATATCATCTATAATCTTAAGGCTTGTGTTCCTCAGCATAGTATAGTCTCTAGTTTTCATTCCTATTCTAGCCGTCAGCCTACGCTTTTGGGCCTTCCCTCCACCGCTCCGGTTAGTTATTGCAATGTGCACAAAAAGTGTAACATGCTCCATGATGTCCCCTACAAAGGAGCGCAGAGGTACGTGTCGATAGCCTGACTGTAAACATTCCAGGGGAATCGTATATTGGCCTATGAATTCATCACCAATATAATCATCATCCAAGACTACAAAACGGATCATGGCAAGCTCTGGCAAGTTGATCTCAAACTCAAAACTCTCGTCAAAAATAGGATTATCACTGTTCTGCTGAACAGTTTTAGTCCTCTGCTCTGTACGGTCTGCAGGAATACCATGGATTTCTAGACACACGTAAGGATCTATGACATCCCCTTTGGCACAGGCTCCTTTGGGCTTTGGAAAGTTTTGTCCACTGATGATTTTGACATGTAAAACTTGTGGGGAAGCCCCTGGGACGATGCCTTTTGTGTTTGCACTGAAGTAAGACACCTCTTCTCGCATAACAGAAGGTCGAAGGACGTAACCACAACCCCCATTCTGTAGAAACCATCCAGTATGTAAATCCATCATTGGCCCCGGTGTTTGATAATTCATTGCCACTATCTGGCAACCACAGTTCCAAAAGTCTTGTGGGTTTACATTACTGGAATCTATTCTCATGGCACTTGGATATATTCGAGACAGAAATCTCTTATTATAATTGACAAAGTCTTCTGGACATTCATTTGCAATTTTACTGGCTTCTCCTTCACTGAAGGAACACATTTCCCAATAATTCTGATTTTTCATTGAGTTCTCAAAATCCTTGAATTGCACTGATTTACATACAGTTACAAGATCAGAAAGCTCTTTGCATAGCCAGGACATTTTTGGGTCCCCTAAATATTCTTCAGACTTTCTGCGAGATATTTCAGCTTCTTCATCTTCATCTGTGATTTCTCCTTCTAATAAATCCTTACCATAAGGCAGTCTTTTTCCTTTGATAATAATCTTCATTTTCAGTTTCTCTAGAGATGGCAGATACGTTTCTGATACTAGTGGTGCATCTGTGTACAGTTTGGTCCCAAAAGTCTTCTTCATATGTTCAGCCATGATTTTCTGCTGCTGTATAGAGCAGTGGTTTTGCAAGCAGAGAATAAGAGGATACTCTGAAGAAACAAAGGCTAATTTGTTGATTACTTCAATTACATATTTAAAGGACAAAGGTGATGCCCTATTATTACAGTTACAAATGATGGGCTCATTATCTGGCCCATCACAAACATCCAGTTCGATACTTCTACAGCTCATCTTCAGTGCCCTGATATAGCCATTGATATCTGCTGGCCCTCGGACCTGGTCTTCTATCAAATAAGTATTGTGAGATGAGTTAATATAATAGTGTGATAAAGACTGGGTCATGTCTTGAACAACCTTCTTATGTGTGGTATCAAAAATATCACATTCTGGAGACAACAAATATTGTGTAAATCCATCGATTGCAAGGAAACCCTTCAACTGCCCTTCCTGTGAAAATTCATATCTACGAATGATATCGAGGCAAACGTCCTCAGTGATACCTGCAACCCCTTGCTCAGCTTCTAAAAAAAGCATAAGGTCCTTGGCATCTACATACTCTTTGTTTTTAGATATTTGTACTAGCAAAAAATAAACTTCAGGTCTTGTACAAAGCTCCGTGTATGCTTCACAAAATTCTTCTTTTGTTACACGAGTTGTTAGTTTCTCTTTGCTCCTTTGAATCTCCTTAAATTTTAATCTGATTTTGGACTCTTTTAAGGCTGGGTTCAGCTGTTTTATTAATTCTACAACTGTGTCCTCCAACATAATCCCATTGCCTTCAACATCTGCAGCTTCAAATACAGAGGTAAGCCAAGCAAACCGTGGAGTATTTTGGCTACTCTCTATCAAATCCAAACATTGCTTAGTACGAGAAACCAGGTACTGTAAACCTGATACCCAAATGTTGGCCACATCTGCTGAATTGGCAACTAAGTCTAGGGATTCATAATTTTCTCCATGAATTATGGAAAAGGCACAGTCTTCCGAAATCTGATCCACAAGTCCATTGTTTCTGAATGTTTCCGTGTTCTTCCCTAATCTGATCTCTTTAATTGCAGAAATATCAAGTTTTGCCTTCTCTGAATCCTTTTTAGAGGGTTCCCAGCGAAGTGCCTGCAAATCAGGGTCAAGAGTAAAAAATCTATTATAAATACGAGAGTTTTGTCGGACTTTTTTCAGTTCACAGCCAGCTTGCATGAAGCTGATGCAGTCACTTGCACTACTTATTTTCTTTTCTGAGGGCATGCTGCTGAAGGAGACTGTTTTCTTGCGTCCACATTTTGAGGGATCCTGTCAAGGAAAAGGAAAAAAAAGTTAATCCTGTCTGATCTCGTGACAAGCTACAAATAAAATACAAAATATAAAGGTGACAATCATAGTAAACAAAAAAAATCACAGCTGGCAACTGATATATGAACAATAGTTCATTTTTAGGCTAAGCGTTTTACCATACTGGAATCATTATTGTAGCATCACACAGATAGTCCTCAGGTTATGACAGCAATTGGGACTGGGATTGCCCTTGCTAAATAATGCAGGCATAAAGCATGACATTATGTGATTGCATCTCTTAGCAACAGCAATCCCAATCAATCCCAGCTGCCATAATAACCCCAAATCATTAAGTGGAAAGAGGCAGGAGCTCCAGGTAAGGTGACATGGAGGGGAAGGTCAGAGGAGGGCCTGGGAGAGATAGCACATGCCTTCTGCAGATGGGAGGATGCCATAGGGAGGAGAAGAAGAGAAGAGACTGGGAGAGTGTCAGCTCAGGCTGCATGCCAGCAGGAGGTTACTGTAAGTAGGAGGAAAAAGTAGGAGCAGTTTTTCAGAGTGACTTGCAACCTTCCCCCACTGGCTTCCCTATTGACTTTGCTTGTTAGAAGCTGGCATTGGAGGTCACTAATGGTGATCATGAGGCTCCCTGCAAGGGCATAATAGTGAGCTGGGCACCCAAGCATGCAGATCACGTTCAAGTGACCTTGGAGGTGCTACCATGGCCAGAACTTCAAGAACCAGTGATACCCCCATTTTTTCAGCACCATTGAAACCCTCAATGTTCACTGAAAATGGACATAAACCGAGGACTACCTATATTGAAATTAATGGGACCTATGGATTCAGGCAATATATATCGATTATACAAAGGGCAAAGAGTTAACACTGAAGCACAAATGAAATGAAGGACAGCTGGCGGGTTTAGGAACTGAAGTGTCCCATCCAAATAATTATAGTACACCTTGCTCTGTGGTTATTTGTATTTCTAATACTAAGTATTCAGTGCAGTAATTTGTTAACCAGTTATTCTACTGGCTACTAACCATATCATACCTTCCAGATGATTTTGGCTTTATCTGTATTTTGGAGAATATATTATCCATAAGGGGAAAAGGCATTTGGTATTTAGTTATGGTAGTGAGAGATAGAATTAGTGTGATTTTTGTAAAAATTGTGTTCATCATTTTATGTATGAATGTTGATTCCCAGTTTCTAACACCTACCGTAATCAATGGAAACCTGGACATCATAAATAAATACTGCATTTAAAAAGATGCAGTTTTTGAAAATAAAGTAATATTTTGCTTTCACTCATCTGATGGTGTGCTTCCTACTTTAAAATAAGATGCCAAGGAAATAGAGTGGCACATCTTTAAATTTGCTACCTTTTGTTATAGGGGATGTCAATGTCATAAAACTGCTTAAATGTAAAAAGAAGAGAGCAAGAAAGAAACATCTCTGATATTCTTTCCCAGAATAAAAAGCCTTGGCCCCAGGACATGGCAAAGAAATTCTTCAGACCTTCTGAGAGTGAGAAGAAAATGACCTTGGGATATATCTGAGAAAACAGGAGCTTCAAACTGTGGAGCACTTCAGTAGGTGGGTGAGGTTGTGTGTTGCACATTAGAGGAATACCATCTGTTCTGAAGCTTTTGGAAAGCAAGACACTGGCACAACAACTCTATGGACTGCACCTGTAATTTTATAAGGCCTCCCATATAAGACTTGGAAGACAGGTGGAAGAGCAGAGACTACACAATAGTCAGACAAGGGAGAGCTGAATGCAGGGAAAAAATGAGGTTTTCCCCCCCAGCTATTTATGGCAAGGTATTTCACAGCATCTCTGATAACACTGGGTGAAGCCTTTACTGGAGAATCCATAAGATCATCCAGTATGTAGCAGGATTTAACACTGTTGTTGAAATGGCTTTTGACAATCCAAAGCACCATCTTTTTAAAGAAAAAGAAATAACCAATGGGGAAAAGCAGTGGAACGTGATTGTAAGCTTCTCCTTGGGTGATAGTAGAATTCATCATGAGGATAAAGAGAAAACATTGCATGAGAATAGATGAAAACATTTTAAAAGAAACCTTACAGTTGTTTCTCTGTGTTCACTCTGATAATCACTGTACAAGTAGTGCAAGATTGACAATCCAGTGTTCATTTTTTAAAAATAAAACGCCAAGGCATGCACAAAAAAGTACTCTAAGTTATTTATATTTCTGCCAGTTCAGTTAAAAATTTGCCCAACAGAAAAACAAAGAAAAGCTGAACACATTTATATATGAAATGCAAATATGTGAACACAGCTTCTTCCACAGAAAATACAGAATATCAGTACTTTACATCTATTGTAAAGAACCGGGGGAGAGGGGGGAAATATAGAAGTGGTTGATGTGTACAGTATTTTTATTTTGTTCATTAGGACATATAACCTATTTACATTCTCAGTCACTAATGAAATTGATGAGATTTATTTTATACTTAAACAAATTCTGTACTTAAGTAAATTTAGGATTGGTGTTTTCCATATTCCTGAGATGTTTCTTGGGATAGTCCAGATTATAAAAGAGCTTCCTGCCAAAAAGCATTGGATAAATACCTGTAGCCAATAAGTTGTGAGGAAATGTGATAGTTACCCATGATCACTATTGTCTAGACAGAGCAGTGTTTCTCAACCTTGACAATTTTAAGGCATGTGGACTTCAACTCCCAGAATTCCACAACCAGCATTGCTGGCTGTGGAATTCTGGGAGTTGAAGTCCACATGCCTTAAGATTGTCAAGGTTGAGAAACACTGGTCTAGAGGATCCAATCTGGGATGATCACCGGGACCAGAGGTTAATCTGGTGATTGATCCAGATTGGATCCTGCAAAATTATCCTGGCACATGTATATTTGCCTTCATTCATGACTACCATCTGGAGCTCACATTCCTTAAAAAGCAGTGACTGAGGCAAGATGATTTAGATAATGCGGTCAGATAATGAGCTGCTTACTCAGCATTGGAGAGGTTCTTAATTATTTGAATAATTACATTTTTGGCTGAAGCTTGGCATAAGCTTAACCAATGAAGACGCAGTTAATATAGATGAATAAGCGACATTAGTTACTTTGCTTCTATTGTAGTCTAATATATCTGTAATATTATTAGAAACTTTAGTCCTCTCTCCAAGGAAGCATTCTCTGTAGCCAAATTACAGTACTGCTGCTACAGGAATGAATGTAAAGTCAATTTTCTTGAAAGAAATTCATACATTCACGTAAATGCAATCTGCAAGTGTAATTCCAGGCCATTTTCATTATCATGCCAAAAGATGTCAGATTTTAATTAAAACATTTAAACTGAAAATTAAATGTCAACAGTGATACAGAGTTGCTGTTAAAGGGATATATCAAGTCAATAACAGTCATTTTGAAAAGGAGCAGAAAACGCAGCCAGGCGCTAAGAAAATGGTGAATAGAGGAACACAGTATATAGACCATATTTTAACTGAGAGTTGTAGGCTTTGAACATGAAGTAAAAAAGCATATTGGTCTGGACTTGCTGGCTTTTTATTTCCCCACTTCCATCACTAGCAAAACTTATCCTTTAAAAAACATTCTAAGAGATCAGAAATTTCCCAGAGCAGCACCTAAATGAATGAAGGGATATCTTTTAAATCGATATATCCCTCTGATTATGTGTATACAGGTAAATTGCTCATGTGGATAGAATTACACTGAGAGTAGGGCCGTAGCTAGATGATATAGCATATGCTCTGGATAAAGGTAGTCTGAGATCAAATCTTGACATTACTAAATAAACAAGTTATCATGAGAAAAATTCTCATGAATATCAAGACAAGAAGGAGAAGTCATAGTGAGGATTTCTGGTCCTAAAAAAAACCCAGTGAATACAAAGCAAATATAGGGAAGAAAAACACATGGATGACAGCTTTAAAGAGTACCATTGTTTCTTTTATGATGTAGAAGTATTAAAGTAGAACTTAGAAGTAAACCTCACGCTTAATAAATATTATGTATGGTGGACCTGTGTATCTTTTCCTCTGAATTCAAGCCAAATAAAATATACTATTCTAACTATAACACTTATGCTATAACACTCCACAAAATTTTAAGTGGCAACCAAAGAATGAATGCTAGGTACATTCCATTTTTCCAAGATTACCTTGAGGAAAAACTAAGTGAACCATGTTTAATTATAGAGGAACAACTCTATAACTTTTCCAAAAAGGCACTTTATTTAAGAAAGAGAGATCATTTGCCCATTTATTTTGGAGCCAGGATTACAAGGGATTAGCTGCATTTTCTGGTTCTTCCATAGATACTGCTTGCTCCGTCCAGTTTATGTATTCTGATGGATAACAAATATTATTAATACATGCTTGCTCCTGGCATTTGTTCTGATGGCAATCTAGTAAACAGCTAATCAAAGAGAAAGTTCTAGAAATAATAACATCACATTTCATTTTTATCCAGATTACAGTAGCCAAAATTCTTGAACAAACTTTTTTAGAGGCTCTGCTGAAGCTGCTTTGTGCAGTATTTATCATTATTATCACGATCCCTTTTATTATTATACAATTTTAATCTCCAAGAGACCACAAATATATTTTGAGAACTCTACATGCAACTTCTCAGGCAAATCCCAGCATTAAAACAGATGCAACAGGGATTTTCCACAGCTTAGTGCTTCCTTTGTTCACGTCAAACTCTGCTGGCACCCTCAGTAAATTGTTCCCAAAGGATAAGCCTATACATTTCCTGCATTTCTCAGAACTGCATTTATTAGTGAATCAACTTTTCTTTCTTTTCATCACATCTAAGGATGAAGTAGGTTAAAAAAAATCTAGACAGCTACAATCCTATGCCCACTTTCATGATGGGGCTGAATTCCAAACAGATAAAGTTATGCTGTTATTTTATTTAAAAAGGAATAGTACACAGGGCAGGATCCACTCCAAAATACACTCTGTATGGT